GGAGGAGGAGATGAGGAGATGAAGATGAGGATGAGGAGGAAGGGGGAGGAGGAGGAGATGAGGAGATGAAGAGGAGGATGAGGAGGAAGGGGGGGGATGAGGAAGACATCGCATCCCCTCCCGCTGCAGCTCCCACAGCCTCCCCTGCATGCTCTCATAGACCTGCAATCCTAAGCAGCCGGCAGGCAGGAATACACCAATTAGGGGCTCTAATACCTAATTAAGTTAATTAACTAAGCTGGGGAAGGGGGGGAGGCAGCCGGCCAGCCCCCAGGCCCTCCGTCGCGCCGTGTGGCCAAGCACAACAAACAAATCCAGATGTTTTCTTGCCGGGAAAGCTGATGGAGGCGACTTGGCAGGCGGGGGCTCTGGGGGTCCCTCTATGGGGAGATCAGGGGGGGTTTGGGGAGGTGGGGGGGCGAATATCCCCCCAGCAAAGCCGAGAGAAGGTGACGGACACCCCGAAAAGAAGAGGCAGCGGAGGCAGCTGGGGTTGTCTCTGCGGGGCCTTTATTTTGGGGAAGGTGGGCAGGTCCCGGGACCCGGTTGGAAGCTGAGCGGCGGCGACGCTGAGCGCTGGAGAATTACCTGGTGTTTAATGAAAGCTGAGGAAAAAAAAACAAAAAATACAAAACCAAGAGGAACCGGGCGATGCCCTCACCCCTCTCTCGTCCCCCCAACCCTGCAGCCAGCAACCCTTGGGGGGGGGCCCTGTGTCTGAGCCCCCCCCAAGCTGCACCCCTGCAGAAGGTGCCTGGCATTTCGGATGGGGCCAACCCCATGGCCATGCACAGTCCCATGGTCCCAGAAGAGGTGGCGTTTGTCCCCCCCCTTTGCATCTTCCGGAGATGAAGATGAGGATGAGGAGGAAGGGGGAGGAGGAGGAGATGAGGAGATGAAGAGGAGGATGAGGAGGAAGGGGGGGGATGAGGAAGACATCGCATCCCCTCCCGCTGCAGCTCCCACAGCCTCCCCTGCATGCTCTCATAGACCTGCAATCCTAAGCAGCCGGCAGGCAGGAATACACCAATTAGGGGCTCTAATACCTAATTAAGTTAATTAACTAAGCTGGGGAAGGGGGGGAGGCAGCCGGCCAGCCCCCAGGCCCTCCGTCGCGCCGTGTGGCCAAGCACAACAAACAAATCCAGATGTTTTCTTGCCGGGAAAGCTGATGGAGGCGACTTGGCAGGCGGGGGCTCTGGGGGTCCCTCTATGGGGAGATCAGGGGGGGTTTGGGGAGGTGGGGGGGCGAATATCCCCCCAGCAAAGCCGAGAGAAGGTGACGGACACCCCGAAAAGAAGAGGCAGCGGAGGCAGCTGGGGTTGTCTCTGCGGGGCCTTTATTTTGGGGAAGGTGGGCAGGTCCCGGGACCCGGTTGGAAGCTGAGCGGCGGCGACGCTGAGCGCTGGAGAATTAGCAAAATCCTGCATTGGCCAGGAATCCAAGCCAATAGAAGCCAGGGACCATCAGGGCCACCAAGAGATGGACTCTCATTGTCACTGGGAGTCAGTGTGATTTACTGCCAACTCATGGACTCCAAGCCATGCACAATCACTGTCCCTCAGCCATGGACAATCACTGTCACCAACCCAGGGGTGCTCACTGCCACCAAGTCCCTTGGCACCTCCCTGACACAGCACCAGGGATGTTCAAGAAGGGCCCCACCAGCACCCACACGGGGCCAAGGGCTCCAGAGGTGCCCCACCTCAGAGGAGCAACAGACCCTCAGGGCCATCCAGACATGGACCCTTATTGTCACGGGGAGTCAGTGTGACTTACTGCCAACTCATGGCCACCAAGCCATGGACACTCACTGTCCCTCAGCCAGGGGTACTCACTGCCACCAACCCAGGGGTGCTTACTGCCACCAACTCCCTTGGCACCTCCCTCACACAGCCCCAGGGGAGTCAAGAAGGGCCCCACCAGCACCCACACAAGGCCAAGGGCTCCCGAGGTGCTCCAGGGACACCCTCTCAGCCCCACCTCAGCCCCCCACAAGGGCTCCCCCAGGACACCGGGGTGGCAAAAGCTGCAGCTCCTGCATTGGCCGGGAATCGAACCCGGGCCTCCCGCGTGGCAGGCGAGAATTCTACCACTGAACCACCAATGCCAGATGTGCCCTGACCTCTGACCCCACCGCCCCACACCTCCTGCCTCTGAGCCAGGCACCCTGAGGGCCACCAAGCAAGGGACCTTCATTGTCACTGGGAGTCAGTGTGACTTACTGCCAACTTGGCCATGGGCCCTCATGGCCACCAAGCCATGGACAATCACTGTCCCTCAGCCAGGAGCACTCACTGCCACCAACCCAGGGGTGCTCACTGCCACCAAGTCCCTTGGCACCTCCCTGACACAGCACCAGGGATGTTCAAGAAGGGCCCCACCAGCACCCACACGGGGCCAAGGGCTCCAGAGGTGCTCAAGGGAGAACCACTGAGCCCCACCTCAGAGGAGCAAGGGACCCTCAGGGCCTCCCAGACATGAACCCTCATTGTCTTGAGGAGTCAGTGTGACTAACTGCCAACTCATGGCCACCAAGCCATGGACACTCACTGTCCCTCAGCCAGGGGTACTCACTGCCACCAACCCAGGGGTGCTTACTGCCACCAACTCCCTTGGCACCTCCCTCACACAGCCCCAGGGGAGTCAAGAAGGGCCCCACCAGCACCCACACAAGGCCAAGGGCTCCCGAGGTGCTCCAGGGAGACCCCCTCAGCCCCACCTCAGCCCCCCACAAGGGCTCCCCCAGGACACCGGGGTGGCAAAAGCTGCAGCTCCTGCATTGGCCGGGAATCGAACCCGGGCCTCCCGCGTGGCAGGCGAGAATTCTACCACTGAACCACCAATGCCAGATGTGCCCTGACCTCTGACCCCACCGCCCCACACCTCCTGCCTCTGAGCCAGGCACCCTGAGGGCCACCAAGCCAGGGACCCTCATTGTCACTGGGAGTCAGTGTGACTTACTGCCAACTTGGCCATGGGCCCTCATGGCCACCAAGCCATGGACAATCACTGTCCCTCAGCCAGGAGCACTCACTGCCACCAACCCAGGGGTGCTCACTGCCACCAAGCCCCTTGGCACCTCCCTCACACAGCCCCAGGGGAGTCAAGAAGGGTCCCACCAGCACCCACACGGGGCCAAGGGATCCAGAGGTGCTCAAGTGAGACCCTCTGAGTCCCACCTCAGAGGACCAAGGCACCCTCAGGGTAACCAAGCCATGGACAATCACTGACCCTCAGCCAGGGGCACTCACTGCCACCAAGTCCTTTGGTACCTCCATGACACAGCCCCATGGGAGTCAAGAAGGGCCCCACAGCACCCACAAGGGGCCAAGGGCTCCAGAGAATCTCAAGGGAGAACCTCTGTGCCCCACCTCTGAGGAGCAACAGGCCCTCAGGACCACCCAGGCATGGACCCTCATTGTCACTGGGAGTCGACGAGAGTTACTGCCAACTCATGGCCACCAACCCAAAGGCAATCATGGTCCCTAAGCCAGGGGCACCCATTGCCACCAAGCCAGGGGTGCTTACTGCCACCAAGTCCCTTGCCACCTCACTGACACAGCCCCGTGGGTGTCAAGAAGGGCCCCAACAGCACCCACATGGGGTCAAGAGCTCCAGAGGTGCTCAAGGGACAACCTCTGTGCCCCACCTCAGAGGAGCAAGGGATGCTCAGGGACACCCAGACATGGACCATCATTGTCAATGCGAGTCTGTATGACTTACTGCCAACTCTTGGCCATCAACCTTGGACAATCACTGTCCCTGAGGCAGAGGAACTCACTGCC